GGATTTTCCAAAAATAATTAAGATGACGAATCAGTTCACCTTAAGGTAGGGAGAGGGCCTGGGTGGGCCTGCCTAAGCAGGTGAGCCTCTGCAATCTGGGCTGAGAGGTCAGACCGAGAGGTCAGGCGCAGAGCAGAAGAGGGACCCACACGTGGGAGAGCGTCCCTGGCTGGCTTTGGCGCTGGAGAGGGCCCTGTGGCAGGGAGTGTGGGTGGCCTCTAGGAGCTGGCAGCCTGTGGCTGGCAGCCAGCAAGGAAATGGGCCTCAGTCCTAAAGCCACGTGCATGTGGAAGAGGATCCTGAGCTCTGAGGAGAGCGCAGCCCGGCCGACTGCAGGGAGCTTGGCCTGTGAGACTCTGCGCAGGGACCCCGGCCGTGTGCGCCGGGCTTCTGACCCCCAAGACCGACGGCTCAGATTGTGGGTGTGTTACACTGCTCAGTTTGGTCATTTCTTTCACTGCAGTGGGAAGCTAACACACCCTCTTTTTAAAAACAAGCCCTCTGTCATCTTAGAACATCCGCTCGTCTTCTCCTTTGTCCTCTCTGCGCTTGCTGCCTCCTGGGGCCATCGCCCAGCTAGGAGCCCAGCCTCTTCCTTCTTCCCCAGGGCTGGGCCTGGGCCTTGTTGGGAGCAGGTGCCCAGGGAGTGAGTGTTGAGGGAGCCACTTGTCCGTTGGTCGGTTACTGAGGACTCTGTCTCTCCTTTGGGTGCGACCCGGCCAGCTGGAAGAGCGGGCAGAGCAGATCCGTTCGAAGTCGCACATCATCCAGGTGGAGCGGGAGAAGATGCAGATGGAGCTGAGCCACAAGAGGGCTCGAGTGGAGCTGGAGCGCGCCGCCAGCACCAGCGCCAGGAGCTACGAGGTGGGTCAGGCCGGCCGGCCCAGGAGTGGGGGTCGTGCACCATACCTGCCCCTGCTAGACCCTGAGAAACGAGCTGTGCTTCCTTGGGACACGGACGTCACCTGTGCCCAGCACATGCGCTGCCCTCCTTGAGGGCAGCGCGAGGGCAGCGCATGTGCTGGTAGCATTCCTCTGTGGGGCCTCTGGTTTCCCCTCTCTCTGGAAGATCTGGCAGGATACCAGGTGGCATGGGGGTGACAGGCTTAGAGAGTCACCAGGTTGCACAGGGGTCTCAGGTCTTGCTCACATGGTTACAGGGCCTCAGAGCGAAGAGCCCCAGCCCTGGGCTGCATCAGCGCACTCCCTGGCTTACACACAGCAGGCTGGGAGAGTGCAGCCCGTGACCCAGAGGCGCTGGGCTTTACTCCGTGCGCAGACCCCCTGCTCCCTTGGCTTTAATAATAGCACTTCGCAGGGTTTTTCAGTCAGTGCTGATGAGTGTGGAGATGCTGCCAAGGTTTGGGCCCAGTGTCGGACCGCAAAGCCTCTGCCTTCCCTGGGGGTGGATGTCTGGCCCCTGTGTTGCCTTACGTGGCACACTGGCATGCTTTCCTGGTCCCTGTAAAAATAGCTGGGTCCTCGAGGGTGAGCTGCTAATTGGATGTGTTTGAACCCGGCACGCAGGCTCCTGGCTGTGGTGCCTGTGAGGGCTCAGCCAAGGTGCGGCCTGTGGTCGGGTGCCGCGGCCTTGGCATTGGCCCTGGTGCTGCTCCGAGTGGGGTTCCTGTGTGAGGCGGGGCTCTCACGGATGTTCTGGGTTGTCCTAGGTACGGTGCTGGGTGGGAAGGAGAGGACTTGGGAACCTTGCAGGTATCGGAGCGTTCTTTATTAGGGGTAGGGAGGTGGCACGGGGCCACTGGACTGTGGGAACTACAGTGTTAGTGGTTGGTGGCACTGCCCTGGCTCTCAGGTAGAAGGCATGGGATGTGGAGCTGTTGGAGTTTCCCTGGGTCATGAGCTCTTGAGGACAGGGCCTGTCCTGACTGCCTTGGGTCTCCAGTGTCCAGAGTCGGCTGTGGCACCTTCAGGTGCTCAGAAAACACCTGAACAGTGAGGGGTGGCTGCGGGGTCGCTGAGCATCTTTCCTGGGGAAACCCAAGGGTGCAGGGCTGACTGAGCCTAATCCTGGGGCCCCTCGCGGAACTTGGGCCTCGGCCTGAGTGGCCTTTCTTCCTTGCCACGGACATGGCTGGAGGTGACTCTGGGGCCACCTGAGCCAGTGCTTTTCAAATTGTTCCTGTGAGTTTTGGGCATCTATAGTGGCTTATCAGGAACTGTCAGTTTGGCTGTGAGTGGGGAGGACAGCGGGTAAGAATCTCAGCCCTCCCACCTGGAAATACCTAGTAAGGGTGTTTCCAAATAGGGAGATGTGGGTGTCTGGGGATCTGCCTGGGCCGCTCCAGGTGTGCTCAGGCTGGCAGCCCCAGTGGAGATGCCGTATCCCTCCCCATGAGGTGTGGACCGGGGCCTGTGTGGCTCCCGCATCATGGACGGCGCCTTTGCTGCGGGCGGCTCCTGGTTGCTGGGCTGGGGTCCTAGAATGGGCATTGGCTCTGAGCACGGTGGGCCTCGGGCGTGCATGGTGGTCCTTGGAGGGAGCTTCTGCAGCTCAGCCCCCTGATGAGAGGTCAGAGGTCAGCAGGGTTTGGCTCCTCATAGCCAGGACTCACCAGCTTTGTCCCCAGGACGCTGGCTCCTGTTTTGTGGTCCTTTTGCTTCTCATGCTGAGAGTACCGTCCTCAGTGGCGGAGGCCGCCTTTACGACCCCTAGGGATCATCGGAGGGTGGAGCCTCAGTCCTGTGCCCTCCCTGCCAGCATGAGCCATGCTGCCCCTGAGGGCAGGGGGCCCGGAAGGCTGGCAGGTGGGGGCCCTGGGTCAGCTGTGCTTGCCTGCAGGCCACCTGTCCCTGCCCGGCTCGCCTGCGTGCGGTCAGACGAAAGCTGCTGGTGTTGCCAGAGCTTTGGGCTTCTTCCCAAGGTCGAGCCTCAGTTTGGGATTTTCATGCCCCACCTCCCTGCAGATGGTCAAGTTGGCTAATGACACTGAGGCAATGCATCTAAGTGTCCTCTCGGGTCCCTGGGCAAGAGCCATGTGCTGTTGACTTTGCTCCTGGCTCCTGGGCGGGTCTTCTTCGGGCCTTGGTCCTGGCCTGAGGGAAGATGGGTAGGGTCTCCCTGCTCCCAGCTGCTCTCACCAGGTCCTCCCCTCTTGGCAGCGGGAGGTGGACCGCAACCAGGAGCTCCTGACACGCATTCGGCAGCTGCAAGAGCGGGAGACGGAGGCAGAGGCGAAGATGAAGGAGCAGCTGGAGCGCACCAGGCTATGTAAGCAGAGCCTGGACGCGGCCAGCAAGAAGCTGCGGGAGAAGGAGGACAGCCTGGCCCAGGCCGGCGAGGTGAGGGGACGCCTGCAGGACGCCACAGCACCATGGTGTCCGCCGTTCTTAACCCTGCTTCCCACGTGTGCGCCCACGTTCCGGGACGCAGCTGTGATTGTAGCAGAGAGAGTCATTTTCCATCTATGGTTTTTAGCTAAGAACTTCGTTAGTCTTTGTAATTATGATTTTTAATGGTCGATGAATCCATTTTTTGTGCTTTTCCAATGCTTTGGTTTTCTATACACACAGACACACCCTGACATGCAAACNTAGTAATTTATTAATGCCATTGTTAGCGTGTAGTTAGTGTTGCTGTGGTCATCATCCGTATTTCACTGTTGTGTGCTTTGTTTCTGATTCCTAGAAGCTAGGCTTTTTGTGAGTGCTTATGTGGGAGATGTGCCACCTGACTGCTGACCCCCTTCTGCGAGCTGTCCGTTTGTCCTGCTGGTGTGCAGGTCGTCACTGGCAGTCAGTGGTATGGCGTGTTGCCTTTTTATGCCTCCATTTCCCCTCTGGTGCATCAGCAGTGTGGGCTCCCAGTTAACCCTGAAGAGCATGTTTCCGGACACTGGAATACTTTAAAGGCTCTGAGCGAGCATTAGGGGAGGGGGTTGTCTCTGGGCAGCTGGCAGAGCTAAAGCTGTGTGGAAAGGCTTGCTGTGACCCCTCCTTTGTTTTCCTCTAGAAGGGACGTGGCCATGGAAGACCTGGGGGAAAACACCACTGTCCTGTCCTCCCTGAGGTCTTTGAACAACTTCATTTCTCAGCGAGTGGAAGGAGGAATTGGACTGGATGTTTCCACCTCTGCCCAGGGTTCTCTGCAGATGCAGTACCAGCAGAGCATGCAGGTGAGTGCCGTGGATCGGGGCGGAAGCTCTGGGCGAAGACACCTGTCCTCAGGTGGGGCCTGTTCAAGTTCTGAGGAGTCCAGGTGAGTGCCGTTTGTCGGCGTAGGCTTCTCCAGGTGTTGGGATTGAGGTCTCATAAGTAAAGACGCCTTCCCTCGGTAGGACCTGTTAAAGTTCCATGTAGTTTAGATGAGTCCCATGTGCTGGGATAGGGGTCTCTAGGTAAAAGATTCCTGCCCTTAGATAGGCTGGTTCAAGTTCCATACACAGCAGGTCCTTGAATAACGTCATTTCGTTGTAGCATTGATGAGATGAAGAGTTAATTGATGATTAACTCTTGTTTATATCAATTAGCTTGTGGCAAAATTGGTTTCATTACATGTCGTTATGCTCAAAGTCTAAAAACCTGTAGGTGACGTGAAGTGAGGACTTCTGTATCTGAGGCAGATCAGTGTTTTCTCAGCCTGGAGGCCAGCTGGCTGTCTCCCAGATCTCTAACATGGGGATTCATAGTTTGCAAGATAGTTGGAAGCCGTGGTCTGGCCCTGAGCTGTCCTGCTTAAAAGCCTGATTTATCAGCACGCAGAGTGGCCCTGGTGCTCAGCGTGGCACTCACAGGAATGAGCTCAGACACTAATGATAGGATCAGCAAGCCAGTTCATTCGTTTAATTGAGGGAAACCCAGACTGCCTGGGAGCTCCCGTGAAGGTGTATGGGAAGGCTGTGTTGTGAGCACAGGCCCTTGGTCAGCCTGGTGGGAAAGCCAGGGCCGTGAGCAAAGGACTGGGCATGTAAAGGTCTCAGACGGTGGAGGGGCACTGCAGATCTTGGCTTCAGTCTGCCATGGGTGATTTTTACAGTTTTACTCTGATTATAGTGTTCTTTCACGTTGTTCCAAGTTCTTGGCAGTGCTCACCGTAGACACAGTTGTGAAGGGGTCAGTCTCCTGAACGACTTCCAGTTCTAAAGAGTTGTGGTCAGTCCCAGGGGGCAGGGATCACTGGGTCCGCACAGGCCCGTGTGTGGTCTGCAGCCTTGCCCGGGACCGCTGGGTAGGCGGCCCTGACTGCTCTGCGTGTGGTCCTCCTCTCCTGTCGACCCCGCGTGTGCTGCAGCTGTTCTAGCTAATGTCCTCTGACATGGTTTCCAGTGGCTCTGGGAGCCCGACAAGGCCCAGGCGGCGCTTGGTAGAGCGAAGGCTGGTGTGTTTGTCCGCATCCATAGAATGGAATTCCCCTGTTTGTTAGTGGACTAAGTTGCTCACCACTGTTTTTGGCCAGCACTCTTCTTTATTCTGAAATTAGGTCTTTTATTGTTTTTGGTGTTAAAAAATTTTTCTGTGAAATGATAGTGGTAATAATAGACAGTAGTCTTTTTTTGATCCTTGCTCACTGGTCCAAAAAAGTTATAATTTTTTTGCTGCAAATGCCTGGGAACTTTTGACATGTCTGTCAGGACTGTGCAATCTGGAATTTTGGAGGCCCCAGTTCTCACTCGGAGAGTGCTCTAAGGGCTCCCCAGGAGGGGTCAGTAAATGAGGGGCAGCGCTGGGGCGAGCTGGTCAGTCAGGCTGCCCACGTACCTGCCCCAGGACCTGCCCTGCCCCAGGATCGCAGTAGGTGGCTCTGGCTTCCCTCTTGTGCCTTCCCCAAGTGGCAGGTGAGGGGACGGAGAAGCTGCAGGTCTGGGGGAACTGGAGGCAGAGAGCAGTATATCCTGCCCACCAGTCCTGGCCCCTTCCTGTTTTTTAAGGTTCCTCTTTCCGTTTGATGGTGTTTATGGTCTGCTCTGCTACACATCAGTGTTTGTGTAAATATACAAATAATGTTTTAGTTACTTTCCTTCAAATACAGTAAAAATGTGGCCCATGAATCACCACCGGCTGTGTCTCTGGGACTCCTGGTCCCTCTGTGGTGGTGTCCCCTGGAGCTGAAGTCCTAGCTGCAGACACAGTGAGACTAGGAAGGCCATTGAGTTTGATGGAGCCTAGAGCTAGGAACCTCCAAATGTCAACAGGTGGGAATTGAAATGAGACAGTATCAGAGGAGTGAAGGAAGAGTGGACTTGAGCCCCCAGCGAATTGGGGGCCAGGGAGTAGAGAAAATGCCTTTTCTCTTGCCAGGATTTCTGTTTCTCACCCTTGGCATTGTTTTGTTTTGTTTTTTTTTTTTAGCTGAGCCATCCTGCCACCTGTTGGCAGCTCAGCAGCAGCTCAGCTCGGGCTGGGAATCGAACCGGCGACCCTGTTGCTCAGAGCTCAACCCTTGGCATCATTGCCGTTTTGGGCTGGATAATTCTTTGTTTTGCAGGACTTCCTTGTGCATTTGAGGGTGTTTAGCAGCACTCCTGGACTCTACCCACTAGATGTTAGTAGCAAGCACACACCACGGCACCCTCTTGTGACCATCAGCAGTGTCTCTGGACATTGCCAGGTGTCCCTGATTGAATTGAGAGCCACTTGCTCTAGCCCAGTGCTTCTCAAATTTTAATGTGCATGTGAATCCCTGAGGATACGTTTAAAGGAAAATTCTGGTTTGGTGCCTCTGAGGTGCTGCCCAAGACTTCCTGTCTGTTAAGTGTCCAGGAGGTGCTGTATGCTGGACCGCAGACCATTCTTGGAGGGGTCAGACCCCAGCCACCGGAAGTTGAGGCCCTGACAGGCAGTGATTCTGTGAAACTGGCGTGTTTTCTAAGGCCCT